CAGAAACAAAGATCTGAGTATCACATGTTCTCACTCATATAGTGGACCTTGAATATCCAATATAATACTATAAGAAAATGATTGATAGTGGTGGGAAACTATGGGGGGAGGGAGGGGAAGGGAGATGGTATTAACAGTAGTAAATATCTGTCTGTGGACGGGGAGACACCTCTTATCAACAAGGGTGCCTAAATGAAGCATATTTGTATACCTAACTCTTAACTGTACCCCACAATATCATAATAAAAAATATTGATTATAAAAAACAAAAGAAATAAGGTAAATCCGTTAATAAAATTAAATTGCTAGCAAAGTAATAAAAAAAGTGACAAAATCCTATGAATAAGATGAACAGACAGAATTCTTAATTTTTTTGTTAAAATTAGCTAAAACTGTTAGTATTACAGATTCATAATCCATTTACTTTTGTTAATATAATAAGAATATCAATTACTAAAATTCAAATGAAGAAGAGCTTACTCTTCCTTGGACAAAGTGTTTATGCTACAGTTTCTCATAGCCATAATTTAGCAATGGAGACATAGATTAGAAAGAGTTACTTTATGTTACATATGATGAAATAATTGAGAGTTATCCCACCTCCTGGAATTATCCTCTTGTGCTTTGAATATAGAATGTTTGAGAAATTATTCCATTCACTTTAAGTTCTACTGATCATTATTGCAAGTGGCAGGAAGCACATAATGTATACTTGACCAGGAAGAAGGTCAATTATTCAATTTAAAGAAAATTTTGCAGACTATTGCTATAAACAGATGCATGGCCAATAACAAAATGTTAGTTATTTTTATATCAGAGATTATGTTAATTTATAAGCACTCTTCACAAGGTTGAGAGTAACATTTAAAATCTTTCTTACTTTTCTTTGTTTGCACCATGAATTAATTTCTGTCAGCCTTTCTCTTATTTTATACTGAGCATATCATTCAAAGCCACATGAGGCAGACCTTTGACATTGAAAATAGCTCAATAAAAATATGATACCAAGTCATACTGAGGTACAGCAGTCGTTTTTCAAATGTTTTCAAATTCAACTCAACAAAAATATTACATTTTGACTTACTGTAAACATATTTTTCTATACTTAAGTATGCTTAATTATGCATGAAAATAACATTTGCAGTTTATATGTGTCCATATTACTACAAGTTACGATCAAAAAATGTGTTCAAATTGACACTTTAATTGTAACCTGATATAGATCCTATTCTAGATAATTATTAATGAAAAACAGTACATTTTGTTCTTATTTAAATTTTTTGTTTGACTTTTTCTTATTCCCAGAGAATAAAACATATTTTAATTCAGAAGTAAATATGTGAAGATGTATGTGTGTGTGTGTGTGTGTGTGTGTGTATGTGTGTGTGACCACTTTTGGAGAAACTGTGTTTTGAGATAATAGTATGATTCTAAAATATATTTAAGTCTTCAAAAATAAAATAAGTTTAGCAAGATTTGGGTTATAGGTGAATTTCCTTAAAGGTACAGCTGTAACATGAAAATAAGATATATAAAATTTCAGTGTCTACATTGTGTCTTTTGTACAAATTTCCACATTATATTTGTTCAATATATGTGAAATTAATAAACAATAAAAACATATTTTCTAATATTCTTTGTTCAGTGAACCTGGCATGGTTCCATACAGGTGAATATAGAATAAACTGGTTTTAAATATTATACTAAATAAAAAAGAATTGTATGATGACAAAATTGTTGAAAAGCTACTTACAGTTGCAAAATTAGACAATACCACCATAAGTATTAACTACAGTTTCCTTTTTTATTTTGTTTGATACTTATAAAACTACTTAAAATATCATTAATAATAATAAACACACAGCACCTAAAACATACTAGGCATTGCTACCAATGAGAGAAACATTTTTATTACTATTTCCATTTTGTGAATGTGGACACTGAAACACAGAAAGTTCAAGTAACTTGCCTTCACATAGTTAGTAAAATGTCAGAGTCTGGATTTGAATACAAGCAGTTTGTTTCCAGTACGTAGTCTTTTAATAATACTGTATTCAGAAAAGCAAAATAAACAAAAAATAAGGAAAGAGAAAATAATGTAACACTTTTTTGTTGTCATGTTTGAAAGTTAATGATTTTTACATGGAATGCAATTTTTTGTAACATAGACGTTCATAGAAAAGACCAATGTCAATTCAATTTGCAAACATTATTCATGAATTAATTATTGATTGATTCATATTCAATTAAAAAGAGCAGCAGTGATTGTTACCAGAAATCATATTCCATGCAAAATACAATGTGCAACTCCCCTTTCCTGGAAGGCATCTTCATGCTCTGATGTCTCCATTTTTCATTCGAGCTTTCACTGTGCAATTCCAATCAAGTTGTAAACATTTCCAGACTAAGATACTTCACTCTAAACACTATGCTATTATTTTTTCCGTTTAATCAGCTCTTTCAATTTGGCACCTGTGGGTGAATGACTTTTAGAGAAGGCTTAGTGATATGCCCTTTTGGGGTAAGTTTGTTTTTAGCATGTAAAAGACAGAGAAACTGAAAAGGAGAGAATACATGAGAAATACAAATAAGTGAAACAATTTAAGAAATGCAGAATCAATCATTATAACATTGGGCACATGTGATTAAATGTCTTCAAAACAATGAGGCTCATCAATCAGCATCCTCATGCACTGGGAAATCAGATCATCCTGGGAGAGAACTGAAACAGCATTGTGACAAGGCCATCTCCTCATGGTTACTCATCACAGCCAAGTGCGCACATAAGAAATGCACCTGTTTGGATTGCTATCTTTTTTTCTATGATATGAAATCTCCATATAGATATGTGCATAGATACAGGGGAGACATATCTTTCTGACAGTAGGTACCACTAATGTGTAACTTAACTCAGGAAGAAATCTTGATACTCCCGAGTGCATTAATAGGATTGAACATAATATGCACACTTGAAATATGTTATGGGTGTATTTGGGTAATCCTACAAGTAAAGTAAATCCATTAATTAAATAAAAGATACACATTTGTGTGAAGGAAATTAAACTTCCAGAATTTATAAAATATGTACATATTGTTTATCCTGTAAAGTACACTATCACCATAACAGAGCAGCATAGCTCGTTTCTTCTATTATTTTTGTTAGCTTATTTCCAACATAAAGAGTCAATAGCTCTGTTTAAGTGACATAATTAAAATATGTCTTTTTTTGCTATCTTTCTCCAACCACTATTCCTATGTTATTGACTGGTGGGTTGCTCATTTCCTAGTGGATGTGTACTGTGTACATGTTCAGTATTTTAAAGAAGAAATAGGAAAGTTATAACTTCTATCAACATTAACTTTGCAAATGTCTGGCAGGTTTAATAGACTTGAGTATGAAAAGTAAATAAAAACTGAGTCAGTTACCAAGAGATAATTCAGTCAAAATGATGGCTTTACTTACACCATACAGCAATTTAAGACAAAATAGTATTATTTGTGTGTGAACTTGAAATAATCCCATAATTTATCCCCTGCATGAGTAGCTACAGCCTTTACAGTTATCTGCTTTATAACTTCATAGTCAGAGCTTCTTAGTCCTGAAATCATTTCTTGAGGGGGCTTTTGAAGAAGATTTACAAAACCATGTCTACTCTCAAAATTGTAAGCTGGAATTGCTTTGCCTGTGCAGATATGATGACCCAAATCTCTTTCTGCAAAATGCTCTTTTTAAATATGCAATCATTTGATTTATCAACTGGTCTAAATACTAATTTTCCTTCTATTACTTTAAGCAGATTTACATGTTTCAAAGTAGGAAAAAAAAGAATCAAGGAAAAATCCAATAATGCATTGCTACTTCAATAAACCATGCTGAGCTTTTATAATAAAAAAATGTTGTTTGAGTAAACAGGCTGCATTTATGATAATTAAAGACTACCTTTGCATAAGATATTTTTAATGACTCGATAAATTGCATACATGCACAGAGAATACTGTGAAATGTTTCCATTAAGGTGCTTTGAAAAACATGAGAATGCAAAGATCTAAGTTCTAAACAAACCATTTAGTCCACCGCATAGACGCACAAACAGAAGCAGATTGTAGGTATTCCCCTAAAATGGGCCCCAACAACACATACTTTAGTGCTATTTCTATCATCACTGTAAGACAACCATTTTTATGACCCTTGTTTTCTCTATGCTGGTGCCAGACATCACAATGACAACATTCAAAAAAATAAAGCCAAAATCTGGAAATGAGGATGGGTAAAAGGTGAAAATTATCATAACAGCAGCACGTGAACACCAATCACATTCTGAGAATTTGATGAGAGGCTGAGTATGAACAGAAGTGCAACGGTAGCGAGGTAGAGGTGGAAAGAAATACCAGTTTGATTGTGATGGCTTTAAGGTATATTCCAAATTAGTGATGTTATTTTTAGGGAAAAATTTTGGCAAGGCAGGGTAAACTAACAATATAACCCTGAGGATCTATTAAATTTCACTGAGGTTAAAAAATTTCTCTTCCATCACCAGGTGTCTTTAAAAGAAAAATATCATGTATAAAAGTATCACTCACCTCAACTATAGGATAACTTTAAGTTTCTATCAATTATGATTATTAGTATCAATATCATTATTATCGCTATACTTTCAACCTCTACTATGCTGTGAAACAAGATGCACAGTCGTACTTGAAACAATGGTTATGGTTTCTTTTACTGAGTTAAAAAAGTGAATTCTCTTTCTCTTTTGCCCTTGATTTTAACAGTATTTGCTAAAGTAAACAAGTTCATTGATTTTGGATTTCGCTACTCACATAAATATGCCCAAGTTTTTCCCATAATCAATCCGGACAATCTATTTCTCCTACTTATGGAACAGTTAAAATTTTATCTCCTATTTATATGTAGCTGCCTGAGAACACAAAGCTCCTTCTTACCTGTGTGGTAAAACTTCCCTGAAAATCCAAGGTTGAAGGTAAAATTTGCAACCTGAGTGCGCAGTAAATTTTGAGTCTCTAGTAATGCCTGAAATAAATAAGAAATTAACATGATTTTAGAAAAATAAATATGAAGTTTAGGGATGCCTTTTTTGCAAATGTGTGTGCATGAGTGAAACAAAATAATATAAGCTTTCTTGCTTTTGGAGTTTTTGATGGGTACTGTTATGTAGTATTCATAGTTCAGATGTTACAATTACTATTGCTATTACTTTTATTAAAGGCTACCAAATTATGAAACAGTTAAGTTCTAAGCACATTATGCGTTGCTGAGAGACAATTCTGCTACTACACAACACTAAAATCACTTTTCATTTCTCTGTGAGACAATTCTTGAATTTCAGATTATCATACTCCCTTTTCCATAGGGAAAATTTTTCAAAATTGTTGGCTATAGACAAGTCCTGTATTTGTTGGTAAGTAATAGAAGGATAACTTTTGTTTAAATGCAATTTGCCTTTTATTTGACTGTGTTATCTTCCCCATTGTTTTAAAGACATACTTATTAAGTTGAAAGCTTATATTTTTACTTTACAAACTAAAGAGTATTTTATATTTTATAGGTTATTGCTGGCAATATCTTGAGATATGAAGGAAAGAACAGATAGAAATAGATGCCCTTTATATTACTAGTTCTATAACTAAAATTCTTAAAGTGTGACAAACATTTCTCTCACTAATAGATTTGGAATTATATTGATTCCTTGTTTATAGACAGCATAATAATATACTGATAATAATTAATCATAATTGGTCCTGTACATTTTCTGCCAATTTTTCCACAACTATTTTTCCTGTGTCAACATATGTAGCTTAATTCAGGACTTTCATATCCTTGCATTTTTTATTTATTGGGCTGCTTATTGATTCAGAATGACTTTTCTATTTTTAAAATGGATTTTGCTTACTTTGTTCTGATGAAAATGAGAAATTCATTACAAGTGAGATATTAATTTGATTGATTTTTGGTTACCCTTATCCATCTGTTGAGG